GGTACCCGAGGCGCTTGTAGGTTGCTAGGTTTCTTAATTTATGTTTGATGAATTTCGTTTTCTCGTGTGCGCGTTAGTTTGGCACTCGTGTGCTGGTCAACTTGGCACTCGTGTGCTGGTCTTAGGTTTCCTATTTCGACTTCTCACCTATTTTGTATTCATACTAACTAGAATTCAATCTTTTCAGGTTCATTACAGATATTATCATCCGCCGTGGGATTCTCATCCGCCGTGGGATTCTCATCCGCCGTGGGATTTTCATCCGCCGAGGGATTATCATCCGTCGAGATATGCGTATTAGTTAATAAGTGCGTGCGTCTTAGTTTAGGATCTATGTGAACTCTTGCCGTACTTTATCGAGTCTAACTTTTAATAAAGATTTCTCTTAAGAATCAGTATTATTTACTTCTTTCAAATTCGTCTAAATTTCTCTTCTTTTCTCTACAATATTTAATCATTCAAAGAAATGTAGTCTCACAATAAATACAAATTTTCATCTTCTTCTGAGAAATTATTACTATCGAGAAACTTCTAGTTATTATAAATGTAAAAAGAAAAAAATGGTACGGCAAGGGGTTAAGATCGCTCAGGGGCCTCCGACCCATGGGTGCGCCCGTGGGGGGCACGGGGGGTAGCGTCCCCGAGGTACCCGAGCCGCTAATTTCGCATATATCGAGTATTATTGCCTTAGCATTACTTTTTCGTGTCTCGCCTTTGACTCCGCCACAGCAGAAAGCTGTGGTGGCCTTGCTTGCGCAAATTCTTGGGTAAGTCCGGACACATCTCGATGTTCGACGAGTGACCATGCGGCGTGGTGATTCGAACGCGGACCCTCCTGCTGGGAAGGCTCTCGCTTGGCACATTCGCTATGTAAGCCGTCCTTAGCTCTCTTTTGGGGGCGGGGCGCAGGGCGATCCGACTCATTGTGGGATGATCCAACTTTGGATCATTATTCCTCATGTGAAAACGGCGAGCATCGAGGTCTGCGAGGCTCCGAACTTGTGCGAGCATTGTACGCGTCGCGTCACCCTCGAGTCAGTACCTTCTGCACTGGCTCGCACTTGTTTCATAGTTTCAAAAAATCAGAACCTTCTGCTCTGATTCATTTTGGTCCCCGTGGATCGGAGACTTCTTCTTTGATCCACTTTAGTCCGCAATAATACTTGACATATGCGAACGTGTGAGTGAGCGTGGGTGTGTGCTAGCTAGCTGGCGAGCGCGTGTTTTAGTTTATATGTCGCCGTTGTAAGAAAGGGAGCCATAGCGAATTCCGGCTTCGTTCTGACTTCCTTTCGGGTCTCTAAAGCAGCAACCTCCTCGCGGTGAGACTCGGCCAATCGGTATCATCCTCGGTTCAGAAAATCTTGCGAATTGCAATGAGTTTTGTGCTGAGGATGATACTGAGCTAATAGCTGCAAATTTTGTAATCTTTTTGATATTGATATTTTCAAATCATAAATGTTATTGTGCTACCTTCATTGATAATTAATTTATAGAAATTTAATTGTATTCCTTATACTTTTCCATTAATTCACGATATTGTTGCTTCATCGTTGCAAAAGTAAAGCAATGATGGGTGCAGCGAATGCTGCAAGGAGAGTCAGTTGGCGTAGCCCTCGTGGCATCGATGTTGCGTGCAGTCTTGTTCCGAGCTCTGGTTTATGCTATTGTACATTGAGTTAGAGCAATTTTTTGAGTATTTATACCAATTGATATTTGGCAGCCATGAACGGCACATACTTCTAATTCCTTATATGTGTGTTTATTAAAAATTCATTGTTTATTGATAAAATTATCGTCCGTGGAACCTGAAGCAATTAGTTAAATAAAAAGAGCAATTCTTTGGTAGGTCATATAAAGCACATTTTATGCATTATTTTAGAAATTGCGTGTTATTAAAAGTCTCCAGCCTCTCGTGAAAGTCACTGGGCGTCTCAAAAAGTTTTTTGGATAGTGTGCAATTATAAGGCAATTAGAGAGCAATTTTTTTAGCTACGTTTTATTAATATTGGTTAATACGGTGAGTCAACATCACATGGGTTAATCGACCAACTTACATACACTAGCGAGAAACTGTTCAACGCGGTGATAGCCCTCTATAAACAGATGTTTGAATTAAAACGGAGATACCCTAATGCATATGTAATAAAATATGTATGTACATACATTCATGTAGCCAACGTTTTGCGGCCAAAATGGCAGCTCTTACGAAAGCAATAGAAATTTCAAAAAGTATAAATAGTCTGACAAAATTGTTAACAAATTTATATCTAACTCCAATTGGTAGCTCAATAAGTGCTCCGACATACATTCTTAGGTTCGTTGCATACTGTTATATTAATAATTTCATCGTCAAATCGAATCATTGGAAGCTGTAGAATTTACTGCATACTTTTTCATTTATCGATTGACGTACAATTAAAGTCAATCTAATAAATCGGATTGGATGATGCCAATGGATTTCCATTGGCAATCCATTGGAATCGTCCAATCCCATTTGTGAGGTCTCCTCTCCGCCATTTGGATCAGATTCCAAACAGAATCCCTGGCATCATTGAATACACTGGCTTTGAGTGGAAATTCCACGAACGGTCAGGATGATGGGAGCTCTGCATCCAACATAACCACAATCCAAGTTTGCATCTAGGTTTAGGTTCAGATCAGGTTTATTAAAGTGATGGGGAAATAATTTTTCCCTTTTACATTGTTATCCGTACATGGTTGGCAGACCTGCCATTCTTACATAAGCTCTCTTATTATATCACATCATATTATCACTTGATGTATCTTACGACTAGACGCTCTTATAAATTTCTCTGTACAACATAATAACAAAATATAAGTTAATATAATTTATTTTTTGGGGTTCACAATCTATTGGGAATCTGTGTTATAACGCAAGCTTGCATCTACCTCCGATTCCATGTTGATAGTCCTTCTACTTAGACGCCACCTTATAAGCACCAGTGTAACTAAACGTATCAAATTTTTTGCTCTATATTATCAATATCATGAATTCTGATGCCAAAACTATATGGTTTCACAGGGCGACCCTATAAACCTATGTTTTTGTCTCATTTTGTCAGTAATTGTGTCCTCTACCATTATCTCCTCGCTAGATGGAAATAGTATTTATGAAACAGGTACTACAGAAATATGATATAAAGTGTAATTATTTTTATGAACAGTTGAACTATTATTTCTAATAATTATATAATCAGAAACGGTATATAGGAATAGTTCTATTCATTTTTTCTTGCAAAGGGGTATTTACAACGTTAATAAATTTATAGGCTTTACAGTGATAATGCTATTATATGAATACAATATAATAATATAATATAATAAATCATATAATGATTCTTGTGTGTGAAAACAAATGCCATATGCAACATTTGACCTGTACAAAGTATCACATTCATCGAATTCGTAACTTTCCAAATTCAACAAACTCGGAGGCAGAATCTATCGTCTACAAAATGATTCGCACAAAAATTTTGGTAGCAATTTATGCTACCTTATTATCCGATTTATGCCATATTTAGGCTTATTTTCATCAGGAAAACATCTTGAACTAATTTATTTAAATAGTGGGACGGCATACATATATGTAAATTATAATTAAAAAATATGGAAATTAAAAATTTGAAAATGTTTAATAATTTAATATGTATAAAAAATTAAAAATGGAATTTTGAACAAGTCAACGATTAGCCACATAATTGTTTAATGAAAGTATTTTAAATAACAAATGTTGCTTAGAATCTGTTTCTGCATTACATAGGATTCGTATGCAAAGTGCCGACAAGTAGGGAAGAAATCGCTTAAACGCTTTCACGGAAACATCGATAGTTTTCGCAGGAATAATTAACGCTGTAAATTTAGCACCTCAGACATACTCTTTCCTCTGTGCAGTCAAATGTAGTTCACTAGTTGACCGTTCCATTTAGGTAGAGTCCGCTATCGTACTACAGTATTTTCTGCAGTGTCGGTAATTTAGACTCTGAGGCAGAAAAAATCATTGCATTGCACTGATGCACTAATGGGCTGTATGTTGCAGGTCATAGTCATACTAAAAATAATATGTTCTCTCAATACCTAATTTATCTACACTTGTAAATTTTCAAAGCTTCTAATATCCCGACTCCAGAAGCACCAGTACATCCTCACACCATACACTTTGACCTCGCAAGTTTCATCGTCGGTTGCACATTTTTGGGACCAATTCAATATTAAATCTACGCCACACTGTTGCACCAATACTGATTATGACCATCCGACTCAAAATTTTTGTGTGACTCGTTAGAAAATAGATTCTTCCAGAACTCATCGATAGCGTTTATGTATCCTTCTGCAAATTCTAATTTCTTTCTTTTTATTTATTTTGCTGATGAATGATTTCCTGCTCGCAACTTTGCTGTTGAATCCTTCCTGACGCACTATTCTTCGTACTGTTTTCTGATGAACTTGCTTGTACATATAGTGTTAAATATTCTAAAATATGTGACGCAATATCCGACGCACTGGTATCTGGTTTATCTTTAATAGTTCGGACAATTTTAGACTCCTCTCTCGTAATTGGTTTCCGGGGTCTGCCGGTTCTTTCTTTATTTCGCAACGTTCCTTCTTTTTCATATTTAGTTATTATACTCTGTACAGTTGATCGACTTCTTTTTAGTATATCTGATATATTTCTATATGATTTACCCTCTCCGTATAACCGTATAATAATTCCTCTCTCTTCCAACGTTGTTTCATTGCGTTTTCTTCCCATATTGCAAATATTTGGTGATAACATGTATGTAAATACTCGACACGTCTAGTACCACAAACTTAGGATCTGAACAGATATTGCATGCAATACATTTTTTTGTCTATAGTTCTGAATTACCGACTGTGCAGAAAATGCTGTGATACGATAGCGGACTCTACCTAAATGGAACGGTCAGCTCGAGAACTACACAAGACTGCAACAGAGAAGGTGTGTCTGAGAAGATTAAATTGTTGTCAACTTTCAAAATTAAATTGTTGTAGCATTATATTCCTACGAAAACTATCGAAATACAGAAATAAATTTTAAACTACAAAATTTTCTATTGTAAATACTTTTATTAAACCATTATGTGACTATTCGTTGAATTATTCGAAAGTCCCTTTAATAATTTTGTAATTTTTACCGCATGTATTTTTTAATTATAATTTTTATATATGTATATATATTACCTAACTATTTTAAATATATTTCTCATACACAGTCCACTTGTACCAATACAAGAGAAAATCTCTACCACTATTGAAGGTGGTGTTATAAAATGAAAGATACGTAAAAATAAATATCAAACTTAAAATATTGCAGTACATTCTTTTTATCGCATTGAATATGAGATTGATATACGAATTATATATTAACCGAAAGTGGTTTATGAGTGACGGAGCCGACACATAACGAATCTTTAATTATATTTTAATTAATAAATAGTAAATTTGCAACCGTTTTGGTGTAAAACTAACAATGAAAAATTGAAAAAATGTACATCTCTTCGAATAGTAATAATTCTCGTTCGTATGAAACATGTATAATAAGTTCCAGTAGATAATTGTAAAAAAATTGTTTGTAGTAGAGCATTTACTCAGTACATGACTAAATATATATTTTGCTCAGTATAATATAATCACATGAATATGATATAAATGTAGGTAACTCTGAAGCTTTAGTCCCAAAATAGTTCGAAAACTACAATCTCGCCTCGTAACATATGTGTGTTCAAATCAGAATGTACTGCTTAATATAAATGTTTGTACGAAGTTAGCCTATAATTCTCTCCGACCATTTGAATTCCACTTTCCAGACTAATATTAGATGAACCTATAATTATAACTTGAACTTCGAACACAATCGAACAGAAATTCATTTGTTCGGTTTTCATTGATTACAATGATTTATTAAACGCATTATTTATATTTTATATTTATTTCATTCGCAAGCACATTAATGCTATTCCATTAACAAATTATCAAAATAATATGGTTTGGTTTTAGTATTGGTTTAGTATTCACTTGAGTTCATAATTGCTTCAAATGTATAATAATTTTAAATAATATTGTAATATATTATTTTTTGCAAATATATATATATATATATAATTTTAAATAATATTATAAATACTACCACTTCTAAAGTAACTAATTTTTAAATTAAATAATACACATAATGCACACAATAATATACATCAATATATATATATATATACAATTATTATTTATCATATATATAATTCCTTCTCATTGCTATTAGAAATACAACATTGTCAGATTCTTTTTAAAAAACGATGTATGATACAGAAATAAAATGAAAATATTATTTGCAAAAATATTTGAAGTACTTTAATCTTACAGTAAAAATACTTATAGATATTATTTAATGTAACCAAATAACTAATTCTTCGAATAATTATTAAATAGGGAAGATATTTCATAATTCATAAAAATGGAACTGCACGTGGTTACCAGATTAGGAACATGGTTCACGCATGCGTGAGAACTCATCACGGAAGAGGCAAAGCCGTCGGTCTTGTAAAACCCATGGAGACTGAGAATAGATCCATTATTTTGTACCGCATCCTCAACAACGTTTGTGCCAATTTAAATATTTTTACTCACTGTCATGTGAATACAAAAAGAAATTTGTACAAAGAAACATCTACAGAAACAAAAGTGCCACAAAATTTGAAGTAAAATTCATTCC